AATGATAATAATACTTCCGTTTTATGAATGACAGAAGAGCAGATCATTTTGTTTTCAGCAGCCAAAAAACGTAGTAATAGTGTTTTCCTGGTCTGTTTTTCTGAATTTTTTTAGAACCCGGAAAAATGAGTATACAGCAAACCAAAATGAATGACAGAAGAGCAGATCATTTTTTTTTTTTTGGTGAGCAGCCAAAACGTAGTAATAGTGTTTTCCTGGTCTGTTGCGATTTCTCAATTTAAGTCTCTGGCTAGAACCCGGAAAAATGAGTATACAGTCGAAACTAAAGGAAATAAAATGATAATAATACTTCCGTTTATATGAATGACAGAAGAGCAGATCATTTTGTTTTTTTTTGGTGAGCAGCCAAAACGTAGTAATAGTGTTTTCCTGGTCTGTTGCGATTTCTGAATTTAAGTCTCAATAGAACCCGGAAAAAATGAGTATACAGCCGAAACTAAAGGAAATAAAATGATAATAATATTTCCGTTTTATGAATGACAGAAGAGCAGATCATTTTGTTTTTCTTTTTGGTGAGCAGCCAAAAAATAGTAATAGTGTTTTCCCTGGTCTGTTGCGATTTCTGAATTTAAGTCTCTGGCTAGAACCCGAAAAATGAGTATACAGCCGAAACTAAAGGAAATAAAATGATAATAATACTTCCGTTTTATGAATGACAGAAGAGCAGATCATTTTGTTTTTTGGTGAGCAGCCAAAAACGTAGTAATAGTGTTTTCCTGGTCTGTTGCGATTTCTGAATTTAAGTCTCTGGCTAGAACCCGGAAAATGAGCATACAGCTGAAACTAAAGGAAATAAAATGATAATAATACTTCCGTTTTATGAATGACAGAAGAGCAGATCATTTTGTTTTCTTTTTTGCAGTAGAATAGTGTTTCTCCTGCCCAAAACGTAGAAAAAATAGTGTTTTCTAAAAGAAATAAATGATAATATTTCCGTTTTATGAATGACAGAAGAGCAGATCATTTGTTTTCTTTTTTGGTGAGCAGCCAAAACGTAATAATAGTTTCCACAGTCTGTTGCGATTTCTGAATTTAAGTCTCAAACCCGGAAAAATGAGCATACAGCTGAAACTAAAGGAAATAAAATGATAATAATACTTCCGTTTTATGAATGACAGAAGAGCAGATCATTTGTTTTTTTTGGTGAGCAGCCAAAAACGTAGTAATAGTGTTTTCCTGGTCTGTTGCGATTTCTGAATTTAAGTCTCTGGCTAGAACCCGGAAAATGAGCATACAGCTGAAAACTAAAGGAAATAAAATGATAATAATACTTCCGTTTTATGAATGACAGAAGAGCAGATCATTTTGTTTTCTTTTTTGGTGAGCAGCCAAAACGTGGTAATAGTGTTTTCCTGGTCTGTTGCGATTTCTGAATTTAAGTCTCTGGCTAGAACCCGAAAAATGAGTATACAGCCGAAACTAAAGGAAATAAAATGATAATAATACTTCCGTTTTATGAATGACAGAAGAGCAGATCATTTTGTTTTTTTTTTTGTGCCAAAACCAAAAACTAATGCGATAATGTTTTCCCGAAAATGGTCTGTTGGAAATAAAATGATTTTGCCGAAATGAAGAAGAGCAGATCATTTTGTCTGAGCTAGAACCCGGAAAATGTTGCATACAGCCGAAAAGTAAACCCGAAAATGAGTAAAATGAAAACTAATAAAATGATACTTCCGTTTTATGAATGACAGAAGAGCAGATCATTTTGTTTTCTTTTTTTAGTGAGCAGCCAAAAAACGTAGTAATAGTGTTTTCCTGGTCTGTTGCGATTTCTGAATTTAAGTCTCTGGCTAGAACCCGAAAATGAGCATACAGCCGAAACTAAAGGAAATAAAAATGATAATAATAAAATCTTCTTTTTTATGAATGACAGATGAATCATTTTGTTTTTTGGTGATCATTTGTTTTTTTTTTGGAAAAATGAGCATACCAAAAAAGGTAGTAATAAATACTTCCGTTTTGAATGGTCTCATTTTGTTTTTCTTTTTCAGCCAAAAATTTAAGTCTTTCTGGCTAGAACCTGAAAAATAAGCAAACTGGAACCCGAAAATGAAAAAAATAAATGATAATAATACTTCCGTTTTATGAATGACAGAAGAGCAGATCATTTTGTTTTTTTTTGGTGAGCAGCCAAAAACGTAGTAATAGTGTTTTCCTGGTCTGTTGCGATTTCTGAATTTAAGTCTCTCACTAGAACCCGGAAAATGAGCATAATAGCTGAAAACTAAAAGGAAATAAAATGATAATAATACTTCCGTTTTATGAATGACAGAAGAGCAGATCATTTTGTTTTCTTTTTTGGTGAGCAGCCAAAACGTAGTAATAGTGTGTTTTCCTGGTCTGTTGCGATTTCTGAATTTAAGTCTCTGGCTAGAACCCGGAAAAATGAGCATACAGCTGAAACTAAAGGAAATAAAATGATAATAATACTTCCGTTTTATGAATGACAGAAGAGCAGATCATTTTGTTTTCTTTTTGGTGAGCAGCCAAAAACGTAGTAATAGTGTTTTCCTGGTCTGTTGATTTCTGAATTTAAGTCTGGCTAGAACCTGGAAAATGAGCATACAGCTGAAACTAAAGGAAATAAAATGTTTATAATAATACTTCGTTTTTGTGATGAATGACAGAAGAGAAACAGATCATTTTTTTTTTCATTTTGTTTTCTTTTTGGCAGAAAACTTTAGTAATAGTGTTTTCCTGGTCTGTTGCGATTTGGAATTTAAGTCTGGCTAGAACCCGGAAAAAAAATGAGCATACAGCTGAAACTAAAGGAAATAAAATTTTAATACCTGGTTTTTGAATGACAGAAGACAGATTTTTGTTTTTTTTTTTGTGAGCAGCCAAAACGTAGTAAGTGTTTTCCTGGTCTGTTGCGATTTCTGAATTTTAAGTCCGAAAAAATGAGCATACAGCTGAAACTAAAGGAAAATAAATGATAATAATACTTCCGTTTTATGAATGACAGAAGAGCAGATCATTTTGTTTTTTTTTGGTGAGCAGCCAAAACGTAGTAATAGTGTTTTCCTGGTCTGTTGCGATTTTGAATTTAAGTCTCTGGCTAGAACCCGAAAATGAGCATACAGCCGAAAACTAAAGGAAATAAAATGATAATAATACTTCCGTTTTATGAATGACAGAAGAGCAGATCATTTTGTTTTTTTTTTGAGCCCGCCAAAACGTAGTAATAGTGTTTTCCTGGTCTGTTGACGATTTTTTGAATTTAAGTCTTGCCTAGAACCCGAAAATGAGCATACAGCTGAAACTAAAGGAAATAAAATGGATAATAATACTTCCGTTTTATGAATGACAGAAGAGCAGATCATTTTGTTTTCTTTTTGGTGAGCAGCCAAAAACTTAGTATGTAGTGTTTTCCTGGTCTGTTGCGATTTCGAATTTAAGTCTCTGGCTAGAAACCCGGAAAAATGAGCACAGCTGAAACTAAAGGAAATAAATGATAATACTTCGTTTTATGAATGACAGAAGACAGATCATTTTGTTTTTTGGTGAGCAGTGGCTAGCCAAAACGTAATAATAGTGTTTTCCTGGTCTGTTGCGATTTCTGAATTTAAGCCTGGCTAGAACCCGAAAAATGAGCATACAGCTGAAACTAAAGGGAAATAAAATGATAATAATACTTCCGTTTTATGAATGACAGAAGAGCAGATCATTTTGTTTTCTTTTTGCGAGCAGTAAAAACGTAGTAATAGTGTTTTCCTGGTGGTCTGTTGCGATTTCTGAATTTAAGTCTCTGGCTAGAACCCGGAAAATGAGTATACAGCCGAAACTAAAGGAAATAAAATGACAATAATACTTCCGTTTTATGAATGACAGAAGAGCAGATCATTTTGTTTTTCTTTTTTTGGTGAGCAGCCAAAACGTAGTAATAGTGTTTTCCTGGCTTAATATGATTTCTGAATTTGTCCCGGAAAAATCTGGCAAAACAAAAAATAAAATGAAATAATACCCATTTATGAAAAACATTTTGTTTTCTTTTGGTGAGCATACAGCCGAAACTAAAGGAAAATAATGAAACTAAAATAAAATATTAATAATACTTCCGTTTTATGAATGACAGAAGAACAGATCATTTGTTTTCTTTTTTGGTGAGCAGCCAAAAACGTAATAGTGTTTTCCTGGTCTGTTGCGATTTAATTTAAGTTCTGGCTAGAACCCGGAAAAGCTATACACAGCTGAAACTAAAAGAAATAAAATGATAATAATACTTCCGTTTTATATGAATGACAGAAGAGCAGATCATTTTGTTTTCTTTTTTATGAGCAGCCAGAAACGTAGTAATAGTGTTTTCTGTCTGTTGCGATTTTGAATTTAAGTCTCTAGAACCTTTAAAAAATGAGCATGCAGCTGAAAAAAAAGGAAATAAAATGATACACATTTCCGTTTTTGAATGACAGAAGAAACAGATCATTTTGTTTTCTTTTTGGTGAGCAGCAAAAAACAATAGTAATGGTTTTCCTGGTCTGTTGCGATTTCAATTTATGTCTCTCAGCTAGAACCCGGAAATGAGACATAGTCATGAAACTAAAAAAAAAAATGATAATAATACTTCCGTTTTATGAATGACAGAAGACAGATCATTTTGTTTTTCTTTTTTGGTGAGCCGCCAAAACGTAGTAATAGTGTTTTTCCCTGTTGCGATTTTGGAATTTAAGTCCTGGCTAGAACCGGAAAAATGAGTATAACCGAAAGCAAAATAAAATGATAATAATAAAGAATGACAAAAAAATGGATAATAATATTTTCCGTTTTTTCTGAATTTAATGACCGGAGAAGAGTAGACCATTTTTGTTTTACTTTTTTTATGAATGACAGAAAACAATCATTTGCTTTTTAATTAACAAAAACTTAGTCATAGTGTTTTCCTGGTCCTGTTACGATTTCTGAATTTAAGTCTCTAGAACCCGGAAAAATGAGAGCAAACTGAAAGGAAATAAAATGATAATACTTCCGTTTTATGAATGACAGAAGAACGAATCATTTTTTTTTCTTTTGGTGAAGCAGCCAAAACGTAATAGTGTTTTCCTGGTCTGTTGCGATTTCTGAATATAAGTCTCTGGCTGGGTCCTGGAAAATGAGCATACAGCTGAAACTAAAGGAAATAAAATGATAATAATACTTCCGTTTTTAATGACACAGAAGAGCAGATCATTTTGTTTCTTTTGGTGAGCAGCCAAAAACGTAGTAATAGTGTTTTCCTGGTCTGTTGCGATTTCTGAATTTAAGTCTCAGCTAGAACCGGAAAATGAGCATACAGCTGAAACTAAAGGAAATAAAATGATATAATACTTCCGTTTATGAATGACAGTAAACAGATCATTTGTTTCTTTTTGGTGAGCAGCAAAAGAAACGTATTGTCGTCATTTTTCCTGGTCTGTTGCGATTTCTGAATTAAGTCTCTGGCTGAACCGGAAAATAGTGTAGCCAGGCAAGGAAATAAAATAATAATACTTCTTTTATGAATGACGAAACAGATCATTTTGTTTTTTTTTGATGACAACCAAAGCAGTAATCCTATTTTCTTCTGTGCGATTTCTGGATTTAAGTCTCATGTTAAATATGTGGCAAAAGCTAGAAACTAAAAGAAATAAAATGTAATAATTTTTCCGTTTATCAATAACATCATTTTGTTTCTTCCACCTCTCCTTTTAATAATCTTTCTGTATTTCTTTCTTTCTTTCTTTCTTTTTTCTTAAACTTGCTTTCCTTTTTAGATACTTTCTTTCTTTCTTTCTTTCTTTCTTTCTTTCTTTCTTTCTTTCATTTCTTTTCTTCCAACTCTCCTTTTTTACAATCTTTTTTTTCTTTCTTTTCTTTTTCTTAATCTTGCTTTTCCTTTTAGATTCTTTCTTTTCTTTCTTTCTTTCTTTCTTTCTTTCTTTCTTTCTTTCTTTCAACTCTACACATCATTTTGTTTCTTCCACCTCTCCTTTTAATAATCTTTCTTTCTTTCTTTCTTTCTTTCTTTCTTTCTTTCTTTCTTTTTCTCTAAATTTTTGTTTTTCCTTTCCCTTTAATAATCTTTCTTTCTTTCTTTCTTTCTTTCTTTCTTTTCAACTCTACACATCATTTTTCTTTCTTTCCTTTCAACTCTCCTTTTCTCCACTAATAATCTTTTCTTTCTTTCTTTCTTTCTTTCTTTCTTTTTTCTTAAACTTGCTTTCCTTTTTAGATACTTTCTTTCTTTCTTTCTTTCTTTCTTTCTTTCTTTCTTTCTTTCGTAAACTTGCTTCATTACTTTTCTTTTCAGATTCTTTCTCTCTTTCTTTCTTTCTTATCTCGTCACGCCAACACTTTGCTCAAAGCAATCGATATAATTGTGGACAATAGATGATTGATTGGAATTGTTATTCGATCTATATTTCTACATGTTGCCATTAGCGAATCTAGCGTTGTGGCCATGGGTGGGATTGCTATTCGTTCTGTTGTCACACTCGCCGTTGTAGAATTCGTTACGTTTTTACACCAGGGAATTATCAGTGTGTGCATAAGGGATTCAAACTGATGTGCCAGTTCTGTATCCCATCGATCCATAACACTTGTTCGACACACTAGCAAGCATTTGCACACGCACGCATGCGCATAGTTGAACGGAACAAAACATACACAAAGGGACGCCTGTTCTCTCTCTCTCACACACACACATGCAAGGACACGCAATGATTCATTCAGAGTGACAGACACAAATAATGTACTATGGATGAACAAACGACTAGAATAACATGACATAACTTAATGGGGTATGTAAAAATATAAGAATTGACTAAAGTTTTGAAATTTAAATGGAGCACAGATGACTGCAGAATCGGGTACAGGGAAAAGAAAATTGATGATCTAAGAATTTTAAATTTCAATAGAACCCCCAATCCAAGGAATCAGACAATATCTACAGAAGAAAACATACAAGATTTTATGGAAAGTTTAAAATTCTTTGGGGAAGTCACTTCCGGTTCTATGCGTTCCAGCCAACTTTAATCTTCAAAAATTTAAATGCAATATCAATCACTATCTATCGTCCTCCTGATTACTCTTATATTGTTATCGCTCCGTAGACATGTTTCTGTTTTCTAATACTTCCACAAGCAGTAACTCCCTTGTATCTTAATTTATTTACTGCATTTCTTTGGAGTGACCCGTTTAAAAATTTGTATCCCTCAGTCAAGGAAATTAAACCATAATTACAGAAGATAAAACGCAAGATTCTCTGGGATCCAGTGGATCACCGAATTCAAGCCAGTAAACAATGTCTACCGAAGAGAATATAGAAAATTCTAAAGGAATCTGAAATTCAAATAAATCCCCAATCCAGTGAATTAGACCATATCTACAGAAGAAAAAGAAGTTTATTTTCAGAACTTTGAAATTCAGTACCTCATCTCAGAAATATAGACAGATACTGAAGGGCCGAAACCTTGTAATAAATATGGCGACAAAGATGAGAACAATAGTCCGAATAATCTAAATAGTGTACATAATACTTCATCGTAGAAATATAGACAGATACTGAAGGGCCGAAACCTTGTAATAAATATGGCGACAAAGATGAGAACAATAGTCCGAATAATGTAAATAGTGTACATAATACCTCAGCTCAAAATATAGACCGATATAAAAGGCCGAAACGTTGTGATAAATATGGCGACAAGGATGAGGACAATAGTCCGAATAATGTAAATAGTGTACATAATACCTCATCTCAGAAATATAGACAAATACTGAAAGGCCGAAACGTTGCAATAAATACGGCTACAAAGATGAGGGCAATAGTCCGAATAATCTAAATAGTGTACATAATACTTCATCGTAGAAATATAGACAGATACTGAAGGGCCGAAGCGTTGTAATAAATATGGCGACAAAGATGAGAACAATAGTCCGAATAATGTAAATAGTGTACATAATACCTCAGCTCAGAAATATAGACCGATACTAAAAGGCCGAAACGTTGTGATAAATATGGCGACAAGGATGAGGACAATAGTCCGAATAATGTAAATAGTGTACATAATACCTCATCTCAGAAATATAGACCAAATACTGAAAGGCCGAAACGTTGCAATAAATACGGCTACAAAGATGAGGGCAATAGTCCGAATAATCTAAATAGTGTACATAATACTTCATCGTAGAAATATAGACAGATACTGAAGGGCCGAAGCGTTGTAATAAATATGGCGACAAAGATGAGAACAATAGTCCGAATAATGTAAATAGTGTACATAATACCTCAGCTCAGAAATATAGACCGATACTAAAAGGCCGAAACGTTGTGATAAATATGGCGACAAGGATGAGGACAATAGTCCGAATAATGTAAATAGTGTACATAATACCTCATCTCAGAAATATAGACAAATACTGAAAGGCCGAAACGTTGCAATAAATACGGCTACAAAGATGAGGGCAATAGTCCGAATAATCTAAATAGTGTACATAATACTTCATCGTAGAAATATAGACAGATACTGAAGGGCCGAAGCGTTGTAATAAATATGGCGACAAAGATGAGAACAATAGTCCGAATAATGTAAATAGTGTTACATAATACCTCAGCTCAAATATAGACCGATACTAAAAAGGCCGAAACGTTGTGATAAATATGGCGACAAGGATGAGGACAATAGTCCGATAATGTAAAATAGTGTACATAATATTCATCTCAGAAATATCTGACAAATACTGAAGGCCGAAAAATAAATACGGCTACAAAGATGAGGCAATAGTCGAATAATCTAAATATGTATATAATACTTCATCGTACAAATATGATACTGAAGGGCCGAAGCGTTGTAAAATATGGCGACAAAATTGCAGAACAATAGTCCGAATAATGTAAAATAGTGTACATAATACCTCAGCTCAGAAATATAGACAGATACTAAAAGGCCGAAACGTTGCTTAAATTTGGCGACAAAGATGAGGGACAATAGTCCGAATAATGTAAATAGTGTACATAATACCTTCATCTCAGAAATATAACAAATACTGAAAACAAAACGTTGCAATAAATATGACTACAAAGATGAGGGCAATAGTCCCGTAATCTAAATAATGTAAATTCATCGTAAAATATCAGATACTGATGTCCGAAGACAGAAACAAAGATGAGGACAATAGTCGAATAATGTAAATAATATTACATCATACCTCATGTCAGACAGATTTTAAAATTCTTTCGGAATTTCAGATTTAAACATATCACCTACTCTAGGTTAGGAAATGAAGTCTAGAGATGAGGATTTCTAAAGATTATTTGAGAATTTGTAATTCAAACGTACGCTTAATTCCGGACTAGAGATCAAGTCTAAGGACGACTACATTTAAATTTCTTCGCGAGGAGGTCGGATCCCGGCATTGTAATTGAGGAAAAAATGTTCTGTCAGTAACAAATAATATTTAAAAAAAAAAGAAAAAAAAGAGTGAAACTGAAAGAATCTGGAGAATATAGAGAGCATAATTATCACAGTCCTACCCATGATTATCGGCGTACTCGGAAGTGTTCCGGAAATCTTTACAAATAGGTAGAAAGAATTGAAAAGGAACGAAACTATCCAGAATGAATATGCTGAAAAGGTTGCTGGTTGATTCAGAAGTCTTGCTGTCACTTGATCTCCAATGAAAGTTTGTAATTAGTAAGAGTATGAATATTTATTGCGTGCAAATCAGCATACGTCCAATGCTGTCCAGTAATAATAATAATAATGGGTGGAAAACAAAGAAGGATATAGAAAGAAAGCACCGAAGGCGACACTAAAAGCAAGAGAAGAAATGCCGCTTCATGGACAATGTGAGATGGACACCAAGATCATTAAGACAAAAGATTAGTAGGATTGACGAAAGGCGAAGTGAAACGCGAGATTGAAAGCCGACTCGTAGGCGCCAAAGGCCAAGCACTAAATAATTCCGCCCGGAATAACATCTACCACCAAGTGGATTCGGACAAGTACAGGCTATGGTGGTGGAAAATGTCGCCCACATCATCAGCGCCTGTGGACTGCTTGAGTAGAAAGAAGACAGACTCCGCGCTGATAATGTGACAACGCGTCTGCATTGGTATCTGTGTAGGAAGTATGGACTTGAAATCGACGAGAGATTTGGGCTGCTCAAAGCCAGAGAAGATGATAAAAAACGACCAAGTCAAGATATTGTGGCAAACAGACCTCATCCTTGAGACCCCAAAACCAGACATCATCTTCGTTGAACTCTACCACCAAAATAAAATCCACCAAAACGATAAAGAAAATACCTCCTTATCGATGTGAATGTTACTGGTGGTCATAATATCAAGGTCAAATAAAATAACAATTGTAAGAAATACACAGAACTCACGGATTGGTTTTGTTTGGTTTGGTTCGGTTTGTTTTACAGCATATCAGCCTCAATGGGTTATTTAATGCCGACAAGATTTTTATTGCTGGTAACATTTTTTTTATCTATCTATCTATCTATCTATCTATCTATCTATCTATCTATCTATCTATCTATCTCAGTATTTATTGGTTTGTTTTGGTTTGTTTTACGGCATATCAACACTTCAATGGGTTATTTAATGCCGACAAGATTTTTATTGCTGGTAATATCTATCTATCTATCTATCTATCTATCACAGTACATATTGGTTTGGTTTGTTTTGTTTTACGGCATATCAACACTTCAATGGGTTATTTAATGCCGACAAGATTGCTGGCAATATTTTTTCAAAAATGTATTGTTGGAAATATTTTTTTCAAAATGTATTCCTGGCAATAATATATTGCTCGAAATATTTTTTTTTCAAAAATGTATTGCTTTTTTCAGAAATATAATGCTGGTAAATTTTTTCCAAATATGTATTGCTGATAAGAACATTTTCTTCAAAAATTTATTGCTGGTGATAAGTTTTTCCAAAGATGTATTGCTGGTAATAAAACCTATTTTTACACGTTTTCACCCCAGTTTGGGGTCAACTATTTGCCCACAACCGGTACCTCAACAGGTGCCACCACCCTGGGTCAAGGTGGACCTGGGAACACCAGCAATTAAGAGGTAGCTTCACGCTCCTTAAAACCTTCTGATCAGAGGCCTTGCTGTCGGATGTAGTTTATCGTCATACCCAGGACAGCCTCCGGATTGGAGTAGCTAGAAAGTGCGGCGTTCAGGCCACTATTGTCCCAGTTATCACTGGGACGTTGGGGTCCTTCATAGAGAAAAAAATGAATAAAGCCGAGGATACCATCGTTTTGGAAGTCTGCGTTTTATGGCACTGCAAATATTCTGCGTGTTCTCTCTCTGAGGTCGTATGATTTAATGGAGAACACTCATAATGTAAGATCTCCGGTTGTATATGAAAAGCCGTGTGGAAGATAATAATAATAATAATAATAATAATAATAATAATAATGAATTAATGAAGGAGATGGAATACAAGATTGAATTATAAAGAAAATGATCCGAAAAGAATATTATAGAAGAATGCGTTTGATACTAGAAAGCGTACTTAATGGGGGCCAATAAAATGAAGGCTATCAACACCATAGCTTGAATTAACGGTAAAAACTACAACACTCGGATCGGATTGGAAGCCTACCTAAAAAAAACCAATGACCCTCTCTTACAAATAGTAAAACACCAAATCCACTCCATCAACAAAGAAGCTGCACTCTTCAAGAAACAGTTTAATATACCTGAAACAAAAAAAAAACCAAGAAACAGCTTAATATACCAACAAAAAACGAAGCGAATATCATCTACGCCAAACGAGTAAAGCAGAAAGCAAAACAAAGAATGAAGCCCTGTGAATATCTGTCCATGAGCGGGAGTATAATAGCGAGATGTCAAAAGGATACCTAGATACCTTGGACCACCCTCAATCAGAGCTCGTCTGAATGGACTGGATTATCCAACCTGAAGTTATTTCTAATTGAGACCCATTGGAATGTTATGCGATGTTTTACCAAAACCTCTGTGATACATGTACCTAGAATTTCCTGGTCAGCTTCAGCGTCAATATGAGTATATTTGTATCTCAGTGTCACTTTGTTAGCCTGCTGCTGCTCTCTCATACAATAATAATAATAATAATAATAATAAGAAGAAGAAGAAGAAGAAGAAAAAGAAGAAGACAAGGAGGAAGGCCTAGAATAATAATAAAACAATAATAGTGAGAAGCTAACTTCAAAGGCGGTAAACTAACGAAAACTACAGATTTAGACGTTGATAACAACAAGAAGATTAAGAAACTAGACAAATACTTAGGAATTAATGAAGGAGACGGAACAGATCATTCAATTATGAAGAAAAGGGTCCACAAAGAATATTATAGGAGAATGCATTTGATACTAGAAAGCGAACTTAAAAAAAATGAAGGCTATCAACACCTTAGCTATACCCGTAGTAACATACAGCTTTAACATTATTAAATGGAAACTGAATGATATTAAAAGATTAAAATGTTTACCCAAATGAGGATACACCACTGGAAATCATATGTTGATAGGCTGTAGGTACTAAGACATTTAGGTGGCCGTGGTCTAATCCAACTTTAACTAACGCTAAAAACTACAACACTCGGATTGGAAGCATAATTCATAAAAACAATTGCCCCTCTCCTACAAATAGTAAAACACCAAATCCACTCCATCAAACAAAGCTGCATTCTTCAAGAACCAGTTCAGTTAACAGGTAACATCAGTGTAAAAGTTGCCCAGAAGATCGCCCTACAAGCAACATCCCATATACTTAGAAAAATACTCTCAATTAAATGAAGGGCCATAGTTTGGACCCGGCTCTACGGGATACAAAGCAGGAAACATAACGTACATAACAACAACAACAACAACAACAACAACAAATAATAATAATAATAATAATAATAATAATAATAATAATAATAATAATGATCAGAAGAAAGAAAGAATACTCTGGAATTTTGAGATGCGCGCTGACCCACTCATCCAAAACAAGAAAAATCAGATCTGATAGCCGTAACTAATTATAGGAGCTGTTTGATAGGGAACGTAGGATTCTCAGCAGATTATTGGGTTCAGACAAAAAAGAAGTGAAAAAAAAAAAAAAAGTGAAAAACGACCAGGACCTCGCCAGAGAATTCATGAAACGGTGCAAATTAGATTAGTGCTGGTAACATTTTCAACTGTGCGAAAATAGAATCAATTAGAATCAAAACTCAAGGATTCAGAAACTCCAAAAAATAATCACTTTGGTCAGATCGGGGCGTTGCTGCTTTCTGTGAAGATAGT